CAAAGTATTAAAAATATTACGCACTTTAAATTAAAAGTGTTTTTAAAAATCTTTAGATTAAACGCTTTATAGGAGTTTTTAAATAATCTCATACATAGATAAAAATTAAATTATTTATATAGTTCATTTTTTTAAATTAATTTTGAGTAGCAAATACAGGCAAAATTGCTTAAAATCTAATATTTTTATTAGATATATCAACATCATCATCACCATCAACAGCCTTTATCTACCCACTGTTGGGCATAGGCCTTTCCCAATACCCTCCACAGATTGCGGTCCTCCGCCTTCCGCATCTTCTTCTTCTCACCGTGCGCACTGAGTCATCGGTCCACTTGAGTGGAGGACGCCCTACGCTCCTGATCCCCTTTCGCGGCCTTCATTCGAGGACTTTAGTATTATATTTATTGTTATTATATATACAACATTTTATTTATTAATAAAAATTGTATACTGTTTTGTTTGTGTGCACTGCTATTAATAATGTTTGTTATTTGTATATTTTAAAGTATTTGTCAATTCATGCTTAATTAGAACACTAAGTACAACTTAAATAGCAATACTTAAATATAAGTACTTTACATTACGCTGTATTAGATTTTGTTCCTAGATGAATAAAGACCAATTTATAACTCAATTGCTAATTTTATTTAATATCCCTTAAATGTAATTAAAATAACACAATCAATACTATTATAATAAAGAGTAAACACACACTTCTTTGTTACCTAAGATATCAGCAATTACAGCATATTTTTGAATAATTCTTCTTTTTATAAATAGCCCTATACTAACGTCACGCTTATAGGCTATATATTTTTACGCCATTAAACTTAGGGGCTAAATATATTGGATAAAAACCCGAATGTGGGAAAGAGAGCATAAGTTGCTGCCAACATCAAGGAAGCAACATTGCCAAGGTTGTCATGTCATGTCATTTTGACATTTGTTATTGATAATTTGACAAATGTAAACAATAAAATAACATTTTCATAATTTCATGCGGATGAAGCCGCATGGGAGCAGCTTGTTGTAAGATATAACTATTTAAAACTTGAAATAGTAAAAGTATAGTGGAATAAAAAAAAACGTAGCCTGTATTTCAGACTATCCTCTACATCTATGACAAAATTTATCAAGATTCGTTCAGCAGTTTAGGACACAAACATCTATCTAAACTTTAAATGACACACTAAATAGATTTTAAGTCACTTAATTCTTTACTTTTTACACTTACTTCTCTACACAGCTGATTTTGCTTAAACTCTGTAAATAATATAGTAAACTTACAAATTGATTGTCCGTTTATTTCGATATCCGTCTCCATTCTCTTAACTGAATCTAATTTAGGAAAGCGATCACTTTACCAATGAACTAAATAGTCATAATAAATTGTACGCAATTCATGAGAGCTTCAAAACAATTGCCTGTCTTAAGAAATATTATTGGAAGATATCGATTTTTGTTCTCAAACCTTCCAGAATTACTGATTCATCGTTTTTGTGTGCATTGTTATTCTCGTGTTTTTGTGCTCTTTCGCGTAATGTAGGTTTCATCAGGAAAACTGACGAGGGAAGGTTATCACTAGTGTTGTATCTCTGACTGTATCAGTTGAATTAAATAATTATATTGAAAAATACAGACAAATTGATAGTCAGTGTAAATATATCTCGAAGTTTAGTTTAGATTTATTCGTTGTACAATAAAATGGGTAATCATTTTAGCTCGAAAGCAGCGAAAACTCTTGCCTTATTCATTGCTTGCAATGTTCTAATTATTGTGAGGAAAGCAATTCCAACTTTATTTAAATTAAAGTTATTACATTCGATTTAATATTTTCCAATAATAATAAGCATAAAGGAAGTATTCATGTCAGCTTTATGGTTTTTAAATGCCACAAAACTTATCAATAAAGAGTTATTCCAATCAAAATAAAAAAGGTTTTTACAGGAGATAAAAATCAATTTAAACACTTCATAAAATTGTACAAAAACGAATAATAAATACAGCTTCGTTCGTCGTAGAATCGCTTACAGGTTCCTCGTTTCCGTTTAACAAATCACTTTTTAATGTCTGCAGCACTAGCTGATGTAACTCTGAGAGCCTTTTGTCGCCTAATGGATTCGTAACAATAAAACTAATTTATTCAATAAAGTAAACAAGTACAGATAAGTACAAAAACTTATAAGTACAAATAAGAATCTATTAGTTCATTCTCTATTTTACTACCGAATACTAAATTTTAAACACTTATCTTCGTGATCGTCGCTTGTAATCTGTCAGACTTCGTGATTTAAAACATGAAATTTAAGTATAGTAATCAATTAAGCTACAGATTTAAACGTCGTTTGAGAACTCAGCTGTAGTTAAGTTGTAGTATTCTAAATAATTGTACTTCTAGAGTTTTTTTCGGCCAAATAACGAGTATGTCCTCAGAAACATATAGTCATCCTTCTCACTCCTTTTATTAAAACAGAGATAGCATTATGTTTGTCAGTTCCACTATGGAAATCTACAGTTTGCTATCGCCATAGTAACACATTTTGATATATTATTTAATAATTTAAACAAGGCAAATATTGAAAATATTTTTAATAAATCATTTTACAATTCCGTCATTTTAGAGATAAAATACGCCGTGTCTGGCTTGTGGCCAGGGGACTTGATGCCGCGTAGCATAAATTGAAACAATCGGGCGCATGCAAAAATTTTACGTTCCGTTTCAAGTAAATTCTGCAATTGTATGCAAAAATCTTGGCACGAATTTTTGGTAGTCAGTGAAGATAATTTCTTAGATATACGATATATTTATTTTTTTAAACATCTGTTTTTTAACAAACTGATAGCGGAATACTGGAACGAATCTCTTAGAATCTGACAGTCGCCAACATTTTAATGTAATTTAGAGTTTAATCATGATTTACGCTCTTTAAATTAACGTTAATCGAAACATGAACAGTATCCTTTTTTCATAATATTTACGCCAAAGGAAACTAACTCTAACAAGACTATAGTCGTTAGTAAAATTGTTATTCCGAGTAAAATCAGATAAGCGTAGGCCTACACTGCTAAATGTAAACGTTTGCTGTTATCTGTGACCCGGCCTACAGTGATTACATAAACTGCTACTTTCGGTTATAGATGGCGCTGCAATTTCTTTGCGTCTTACGAAGTGCTTTATATAAAGTTATCAAGAATGGAATGTGGCAACTTTGGACAAGAACTGACTTGTATTTTTTTATTTAATTAATATATTTTATAAATATCGTTTTTCGTTTTTTTTCTGCTGAATAAATAAGTTTTATTTATTATTTAAATCATCTGCTTTTTCAACCTTTAAGGTTACATATTTTGTATTCAGAAAATCTTAAACATAAGTGGTAAAATGCGGAAAATTTCGTTCTTAACCTCATTCCAGAGAAACGCGTCACAAGAGCTTAGTAGATAATTATACTTAAACATGTATTCATACATGTTTTCAAATGAAAACGCTGTTTCACATAACAAGCAATTAAATTTAGAATTCAAATCACTAACGTTTATTTATCTTCCACTTCTCTGTACTAATATAATAAAGCGTAAACACACACTTTTTTGTTGCCTAAGATGTCAGCAATCACAGCACGTTTTTGAATAATTCTTTCTTAAATAAAAAAAAAAACCCTACACTTACAACACGGTTTAGGCTATATATTATTACGCTATTAAACTTAAGGGGTAAATACATTGGAATATAAAACCTTCACGTAAGAAAGGGACCATAAATTACAAGCTGCCAACATCATTAATGGAATTGAAGTTTAGTATTGGCCATATCTTTTAAGAGGCTGTTACATACTTAAATGTTGTTTTAATATACAACCGTTTGTGCTACAAAAAATCAATATTACGCAAGTATTCAAACATGATCTACTTTTTAATTTCAAACTTTTTAATTACAATTCTTCGTGATCAAGATTGTCACTCCGAAATATTTCTGGTTATTGTCTGTCTGAAAAAAAAAATACCTTCAGTGCCTCTATACTTACAGAATGAAAACAAAGCTTTGTTTTCAGTTCGACGTGTGGAGACACTTACCCAAGGTCATATAGAGGTCAAGTTCATTTGTAACAAAAGTTTATGACTAGACAAAGAATACCTTAACTTGCATAATCAAATATTATAAATTAAATCTGTCGCAATCATCGTTAAGTTACCCTTAGGGTAATTTAAGTATACATTATAAGCAGACGCGGTCGCGGGCGAAAGCTATTAATATTAAAAATGCGAAAGTTTAGGTGGATGTTTGTTAGTATGTAGCCTAAAGTCCTGAACAGATCTCGAAGAAATTCGACATATGTAAAGCATAGTCTGGAAAAACACATAGGCTTCTTACTTTTCTTTGTATTTCCACGAGGTCGTTGTTAGTTTGTTATAAATACTTCGTTTAGTCTATTTAGATACATAAACCCGCAGTAATCAGGTCTCTCCATGGATAATGGCCGTCTGCCTCCGACGTTAAGGGTCACATCAATAAAATTAATTCTGTTACGTTTGTTGTACCACAAACGCCTTATCTTGCAATTATTTATCGTTCGTTGTGTATAAAATAATTACCAGGAATGTTATAGTTACTAGTCAGGTAATCTTTTGCCACACGGACAATTTACGCACGACTGTTTAGTCGCGCTTTGATTCTTATGAGGTGCGCAAACTCGATTTTTATTTGTGCAACTAAACAGTTGTATTGCGAAACAATCGACAATCGCACAACAGTT